ATTTTGGGTAGTGTTCCCCTCCCCCACCTCTCACTACCAATGGGGTTGGCGTGGAGATTGTTAAAGTGGGACTTGTTAAAGTGCCCTTGAGATGGTTACCATGACAACTTGACCCCACCTCTCTATATCACTGGCAGTTCACTCCCTGCTTAGGTTCCAATTTTAACCCTTTGATACCCAAGATCCAAGTCCAGGGGAATCTTGGAGAACATCTGGGGCCTCTCAGCTTGAGACACTTTCTCACTTCAGTTCTCCCCAAGACCTCAACGACTGGTGCTTTATCAAAGAGAAAGAAGCCAGGTGACGTGACACACATCTGTAATCCCAGTACTCTGGGAAGCTGAGGCAGGAGGATTGAAATTTAGTGATTTAAGGAGACCTTGTCTCAAAATTTTAAAAAAGTTGGGGCTGGTGAGATGGCTCAGTGGTCTAAAGCACCTACTTAAAACAAGCGCAGCAAAGCACAGGGACCATGGTTCAATCCCCCAGCACCACATGCCAGCCAGCCCCGCCCCCTGGTGGGCTGAGCTGGCCACACACACACACACACACACATTAAAAAAATAATAATAATAAAAAAAATTTTTAAAAAAATTTTTTTAAAGTACCAAGAGGCCAGTGAGATGGCTCAGTGGTCTAAAGTGCCCACTTAGGCAAGCTCAGGGGAACATGGTTCGATCACCCTGCACCACATGCCAAGCCAGCCCCAACCTCAGGGCAGGGCTGAGCCAGCCAAAAAAAAAGCACCAGGGATGTAGTTTAGTGTAAAGGCCCTTTAATCAATCCTCAGTACTCGATGCCCTGAAAAAAGAGAAAGTGTAGGACATGCTTGTGCTACAGCAGAGCAAGTCCAGTGGGGATTTCTCATAAGGAGGCACCCATATCCTCTGGGCACCCATCTCAGGGCTGACTGGACCCTGTGGTGTGGGCTATCCTAGAGAGGCTGGAGTGTGCACAGCCTCCCCCCCTGTTTACAACGTTGGAGAAACTGGGGAGCTTTGAGGCAAGACCTGACTACAGGCTGACCACCTGTCCCACTCACTATTCAAAATAGAATGTCGAAGGTCAACTGGAGTTTGTTGGGCCCTCAAGGCCTAAGGGAAGAGGAGGACTTCCAGTTGGGTCCTGGGAAGAGAAAAGGCCCTGTGGTGGGGCCCAGGGAGGGGCGCTTTCAGAGACCCAGGATTGTGCTGCCAACTGACACCTGCCCAAACCTGTGTAGCTGGATTCTTGGCAGCCCCTGGAAGCAACAGAGGGAGCCCCCTAAAGGACTGGTTTCTATTTGCTCTTCTTTGTAATCATCCCTTCCCTCCCACCCAGTGAAATCTAAGCCACAGGGACATTGATTTGGACACCACTGGAGGGCTGAACTGGCCACAGTCCCAGCCACCATTACCAACCCCCATCTCCACCCTGCCACTGTAGAGAAGGCACTTCCACCTCCTCTGATCTCAGCAGGACCACCAGGGGGGAGCACCCTATCCAGCTCATTTTGGAGAACAGTTGAGTGGTGCTGGCTTTAGTAATGATTTTTTTTTTTTTTTTTTTTTTTTTTTTGTCCAGGGAGATTGTCAGGCTTTGTGGGATCATAGAACCCTTTGCCAATCTGATGAAAACATAAGCATCTCTTCCAAAAATACTAAAACCTTTACCCAAAAGTGATACTTGAACTCTGAGTTCTAATTCCAAACAGCTCTTTTTTCTTCTGTAATACTAGGGATTCAATCCTTGGCCTTTGTGTACTGAACTGCACACCTACCCCTTTTAATATGTGTTTGTTGTTTGTTTGTTTGAGATAGGATCTCACTATGTAGCCTAAGATGGCCTTGAACACCTGGGGATCTTCTTGCCTTAGCCTCCTGTGTGGTGTAATTAGACATGAAGCATTATGCCCAGGTTTATATTTTCATTTTTTGAAACATGGTCTTGCTTAGTCATTAAATTTCTTAGGCTGGCTGGAGAGATGGCTCAGTGGTCTAAAGCACCTACTTGAAACAAGCTTGGCAAAGCACAGGGACCGCGGTTCGATCCCCAGCACCACATGCCAGCCAGACCCGCCCCCTGGTGGGCTGAGCTGGCCACACACACACACACAATAAATAAATGTAATAAATAAAAATAAATAAATATTTAAAAAAAAAATTCTTAGGCTGGGAGCTGGGGAAATAGCTCAGGGGCATAAGTGCCTGCCTGGCAAGCATAAGGTCCTGAGTTCAATCCCCTGTACAAAACAACAACAACAAGAAGATAGGGGGGCCAGGGAGATGGCTCAGTAGAATAAGCGCTTGACTGGCAAACGCAAGGATCTGAGTTCAATCCCTGGTTCTGAAAAAAAAAAAAAAAAAAAAAAAGAAGATAGGTTCTGGCCCTCATACGAATAGTTGAATTATTACGGTCATCTAACATGGCTGAAGCTTTTAAAACAACAGCTTAGCTTCTGAGAGACCACCTTCCCCTTCTTCCCCAACCCAGTCCTGGATACAATTTCCTCTCACCTTTCCTCGCACACAGGGAGACCCCAGTGAGTTCCTTGCATGCAACTGAAACTGCCCCTCAAGCTCCACCCCCAGCAAAAGTCAGTAAGAATCTCAGCTTTCTTTGTCTCAGGTCAGAGGGATTCCCCTATCTCCCTTGCATTCTCTGTGTCTTTAAAGTTAATAAAGCCTTCTTTTATCTTTCCTGTTTCTTTACTGTGGCTGAAAAACCTAACGAAAACCTACCCTTGGAATAAATTTCCCAGGCTGTCTGGGTATGGGGGTGCATATCTATAATCCTGGCACTTGGGAGGCTGAGGCAGGAGAATCATTAGGCATCTAGGCTACATGGTGAGCTTCAGGTCAGCCTGAACTACATAAAGAGATCTTGTTTCAACCAGTTTATTTCCCAGGCTGGGCTCAAACTTGCAACCCTTCTGCCTCAATTTCTCAGAATGCTGGGATTATAAATGTACTATCTCATGTGCCTCAATTTTTATTTATTTATTTATTTATTTATTTATTTATTTAGTATTTTAGGGAAGGGTCTACAGGGTGTTCAAGGTCTCACTACTAGATCGGGCTTGCAGTGATCCACCTGTTTACAGCCTCTCAAGAGCTGGGATTACAGGAGCTCACCACCATGCTCAGTCTCAATTGCCGTCTCAGCGCACCCTGGGGATGGGGGCTGGCACAGTAGGACTGGAGAGAGAACCCCTGGCCTCTGTATCTGCTTGTAGGCACTTTAATCCGCTGAGCTATTTGGCCAGCCCTAACAATTCTTGAGTTTAGAACTTTTTATTTTTGATACCAGGAATTGAACTCAGTACCTTGCACTTGCCAGGCAGGTGCTTATGCCACTGAGCTATCTCCCCGGCCCTAGAACTCTTCATAATAAAGCTCCCTAGAACACCAAGTAACCATGTAGCTAATCTCTCCCTAGCTAGGGGGGATACCTCCCACCTCTGTCCCTACTGGGGCATCTGCTGCCAGGGTCATCTCCAGTTTCACCCCCAGCTCTCCCTTCCTTAGAAGAGGTGTGGAGGTAAGAGGCTGCCCCCATGAGAGCCTGCTCTGGCCTCCAGGAGCCTCATACACACCTGGAAAGTATATAAATGGCGGGGATTTTCCTCAGTGTCCTCAGGAGTTCTTAGCCCCCAGGGAAGTTTTGAGGACTTCTGAGCTTCCCAGAATGAGGGGCACATGTGTCGTGGGAGTGTGCTCCCATGGAGAAGGTGGTTCTCTCCACATTTCTCAAGTCAGTCTTTGATTCAAGAGGGTTAAGGTACTCTATCTTGCTTGACCTGTGAGACAGGCTGCCCTCCACAAAGGGAGCCATGGGTTCTGAGGGGGCTCTTGCCTATGTTGGAAGGCAAGCTCCAGGACACCTGAGTGCTCTCGACCTCATTCCCTTCCCACTTCTGTGGCATTGGCCTTTAGAGCTTGACTGGCCACTCCTGCAAACATGGGGGAGAGAGCAGCTTCTGGGTCCTATCCCAGCCCTGGGATTCTTTCCCCCACTATCTCCCTTTCTTGCCCTAGCCCCTGTGCATCCTTCTATCTCAACAACAGGCTCTTTATCCACAAGCCTCTAGAGACCTTCAGCAGCTCTGCTTAGCCCCCCAGTTTCGGCAGCAAGGGGTGGGGCAGGCACACCTGAAGGGAGGTAGAAGTGTGTATGGGGGGGTAGTTTTCTAGGCCGTTACCAAGGTGATGCCACCTGAGTTGGGCCCAGGCACCTGTTGCCTGGGAAACTGTGCAGGCGGGGCCCCTCCCCAGGGAGCCACCTGGGCCACAGAGCTGAGCCAGGAGGCAGATCAGGTTCCCAGAGAGCACTGGGGGGCAGGGGCAGTCGATACTGAGTGGGGGGGCACATTTGCATCATGAAATGGAGCAGGGGGCTGGCAAAAGCCATGGAAGGGTCAGTCTCAGGCTGAGCCCTCGTCTGCCCTATATCTGGCCAGTCACGACCCCCCTACCCCAGCTTGTCTTCAGTCTTTCCAGTCTTTTGTCCCTGAGTTCCCACATACAATGATGTTTGTCCTCCTGGGTCCCACCTGCTGTCAGTACCACCCACCACTGAACCCCATCCCATGCTCTCCCACAACCCCCCCTCCTTGCTGTGGCCCAATCCTGGCCTTCTGCTGCTTGCTCTGCTCCTCCCCTACCTGGGCCTTAAAATCCCCACCTGCAGAGGCCCCAGGTGACACCGCAGAACCTTCGCTGCTGAGAGGTTTCCCTGCAGCGCCAGCCAGGAAGGAACAAGGCTCTCTACTCTCTGCCAGTCTGAAGGAACCTTTTGAGCTGGGCCCAGATGTGACTGCAGGGTGTTCAAAGGGTGACGGCCTCCCACCAGACTCCAGTCACTCCGCTGAGCAGGACCAAGAGACAAGTTTGTGGTGAGTGAGCAGCAGACACCCACCTGAGAGAGGCCCACACTTGTGAAGACTGTTGTGGTCAGAAGACAACGGAGGGGCCGGGGAGATAGCTCAGTAGAATAAGTGCCAGCAAGCGCAGGGTCCTGAGTTTAATCCCCAATACCGCAAAAATAAATAAATAAATAAATAAATAAATAAATAAATAAATAAAAGACAACAGATACCCACTCTTCTTCCTGGGCACCGAAAACCACATATCTGACCCCAACCCACCTGCCTGGGGCTGAGAAGACTGAACAAACAGGCAGATGGCATCAACTGGCCTTGAACTCCTGGGCATGACTCTGGCTGTGTTGGGCTGGCTGGGCACCCTCGTATCCTGTGCGCTGCCCCTGTGGAAGGTGACTGCTTTTATTGGCAACAGCATCGTGGTGGCCCAAGTGGTGTGGGAAGGGTTATGGATGTCCTGTGTGGTGCAGAGCACTGGCCAGATGCAGTGCAAGGTGTATGACTCTCTGCTGGCGCTGCCCCAGGACCTGCAGGCTGCCCGAGCCCTCTGCGTTGTAGCTCTCCTTCTGGCCCTGCTTGGCCTGCTGGTGGCCATCACGGGTGCCCAGTGTACCACATGTGTGGAGGACGAGGGCGCCAAGGCCCGCATTGTGCTCACCGCAGGGGTCCTCCTCCTTCTCTCAGGCATCCTGGTGCTCATCCCAGTCTGCTGGACAGCCCACGGCATCATCCAGGACTTCTACAATCCACTGGTGGCTGAGGCCCTCAAGCGGGAGTTGGGGGCCTCCCTCTACCTGGGCTGGGCAGCGGCTGCTCTACTCATGCTGGGTGGGGGGCTCCTCTGCTGCACATGTCCTCCACCCCAGATTGAGCGGCCCCGTGGCCCCAGGCTGGGCTATTCCATCCCCTCCCGCTCTGGTGCATCTGGTCTGGATAAGAGGGACTATGTATGAAGCAGGGTACTTTGTAGAAGCCAGCATCTGGGCTTTGACTTCTTTTGTCTTTTACCACCACCCCACTCCTGGGAAATCTTTTTTTTTTTTTTTTTTTAATCCATTCTTATATAGAGGTTAGATAACCTGGTTCCAGGATTAGTCTCAGCTGGCCTGGATGAGCCAACCTCAGTGGTCCCCTCTTCATGGAACCAGGGCCAAAGGCCCTATACTTCCCTCTGTAATTGCTCTTCTGTTGTCCAGGACATGGGCCTTCCCCTGCCCCAGGAACTTGGAGTCCACTGAAATAACTGCAGCTCCTTGTCTCCAAAATAAGGAGTCAAACCTGTCCTGGAGCTGGTCCATTCTGGCCCAGCCAATACTTGTATCTAAGACGCTTGGGGCCAGGCCTTTTTGAAGTAGCCAGTGCATAATCCCTACTTTCTGTGATCGGAATAAAGAGAATTTGTAATTGGGCTTCCTCTGTTCGAGTTTTGTTTTGAGACAAGATTTCACTGTATAGCTCAAGATGGCCTTAAGCTCATGTAGCCCTGGCTAACCTACAACTCTCAGTGATCCTCCTGCCTCTGTCTCCAGAGTACTGGGATTACAGGTGCACACTGCTGTGCCCAGCTGGGCCTCCTGTTCCATACTGAAGATCCCTGAATAGCCAGGCCAACACCTGATTTAGATCCTACCCTGGGGCAACCTCATTTGGCCACGGGGTCTGAGCCAGGAGGGAACAGGGACAAGGGATGATGATGGACTTACACACACATTCTCTTCTAGCCAGACTGGGCACCGATCAGCTCGTAGCAACAGCAAAGACATATTAACAAAACATGTTTTATTATGTGAGCAGAGCATAGGCAGAAGCAAGCAGGGTTGGAGGTGCTCATGGCGGTCTTCAGCACAGCTGGGGCCCGACTTGAGAAGGGTGTGTACATGGTGGCTGGATACAGGAGCCAGAGGTTAGAAGTCATGGGGTGGACAGTTTTCTGGTAACTCAATCATTAGCCCTTCCAGGAATAGGTCTGACGGACCCCACCCCCAGCAGCAGCAGAAACCCTTGGTATAAGGCCATCTTGTGGTCACAAAGGCCAGAACAGCAGCAGCCTTTGCGTTGGTTCCATAGCTCCAGTTTGGCTTCCAAGATGGCTATGCTATGAATGAAAAAAATACCCAGAAGTTTAAAGCATCGCCTCTTTGGCTCCATCATCCAAAGATGAAAAATGAAAACGGCAGAGCCCAGGTGGGACTGTTGGTCATCTTGGTTTCATTATCAAATGGATTTAAAAGACACCCCCCCAATAAAAACAGCAAAAAGCAAAAGGTAAGCACCAACCCCGAAGCTGTTAAGTGTCACCATCTCAGCTTAGGGGTGACTCCAACTCAGGGGCCAAGACCAGTGGAGCACTCAGCCCATACCTGCATCAAACATAATTCTTGGTGGGGTACTCAGAGGGCCCCCTAGAGGGGGAATGTGGGGCAGATGTTGTGTAGCGGGCCATGTAATGGCTGGAGCTCTGAGACCCTCCAGAGGGGCAGGTGTAGCACAGCAGCCCCCCACCCAGGAGCAAAAGGCCTGAGGCAGCCCAGCCCAGGTAGAGAGAGGCTCCCAGCTCACGTTTTTGGGCCTCAGCCACTAAGGGATTGTAGAAGTCCTGGATGATGGTGTGGGCTGTCCAACAGACTGGAATCAGAGTGAGGATCCCAGAGATGACAAAGATGATCCCAGAGGTGAGCACTAGACGGGCCTTGGAATCCTTGTCCTCTACACAGGTGGTACATTTGGCCCCGGCAAGGTAGATGAGCAGACCAAGCAGGGCCACAAGCAGGGTGACAACACAGAGTGCTCTTGCAGCTTGCAGGTCCTGGGGCAGTGCCAGCAGAGAGTCGTACACCTTGCACTGCATCTGGCCAGTGCTCTGCACCACACAGGACATCCATAACCCTTCCCACACCACCTGGGCCACCACGATGCTGTTGCCAATAAAAGCAGTCACCTTCCACATGGGTAGGGCACAGGATACCAGAGCTTTCATCCAGCCCAGCAGCACCAAGACGAGCCCCAGTATTTGCAGCCCAGCAGAGGCCATGGCAAAGCTGAGGAGGCTGTACTGAGAGGGAGGGAGGACACAAGCAGAAAAAAAAACATTACAAAGTGTCTAGACCCCAGGCCATGATCTGTGTGACCTCACACAGGCCACCAATAGCACGTACTCCAGGAACTGGTCACTATGTTCTGTAATGGGGGTGGAGCACACTCCCTGAGCCTCATTTTCTTTTTCTTTCTTTCTTTTTTTTTTTTTTTGGGGGGGATTGAATTTAGGACCTTGCATTTGCCAGACAAGTGCTTATTCTACTGAGCTGTCTCCCTAGTCCCCTCATTTTCTCATATGTAAAATAAGCACTTACTGCTTTCCTAGTTATGTGACAGCCTCTGGCAGATCACCCCAATTGTTTTGGGTATGAATGACAGGCAAGAGGATAAAGCAGATTCACATCCATGGCCTTTGCCACTTCTGCATACTTTTTTTTTTTTTGAATAGGGGATTGAACTCAGGCCCTTGCGCTTGCCAGGCAAGTGCTTATTCTACTGAGCCATTTCCCCAGCCCCAACATCTCCCCAGCCCCCTGAGTACATTTTATCATTCAGTAAAGTGCAATTTCCACATGCTCTGGCTTTAGCATGTTTCAGGCTCAAAATGTCATTCTCAGGGTTGAGGATGTAGTTCAGTGGTCAAACACTTGTCTAGCATCCTCTGAGTCCCCAGTTTCAATCCCCAGCACTGCCACCCCCCAAAAAAATCTTTTTTCCACCACTCAAGGTCCAAACTCCTTCAACCAATCTGTTTGTATCAGCTGATACTATCCTATCGTCATCTTGTGCTCTGAGCCTGGCACTCCACCACTCTCCCAAAGTTATTCCTCCTAGGGTGGATAGCCAGCCTCACCCTGGAGGGGCAGGAGAGACTGGGGAGAGGCAAACAAAGACTCTCATCCAGAAGCAATTCCTCCCCCAGGACCCCAGTGACTCCCTGGTCCACACTTCAGCATTCCCCTGCGGACCATGGTGCACACTTGCCCACAAGTTTGGGGCCATTTTCCTGTTTTAGACCAAAAGATCACACTAGGGTCCTCTCAGGACACAACTTTCCTAGGAGGAACTAAAACCCCAGGATCAGTCCAGTCCCTCACCAACACCCTGGCTGCACCTGTCCCTCAAGGTCCACTCTGGGCCACAGGTCCAGGCCCACCCTGCTCAAGGCCGTCTGTGGCTGCCCATGACACAAAGTTCTGCACGCATAGCTTAGACCTACCTGTAGCTCCTTCCCTAATAGCACAGTCAGGCAGCAAGTTTCGATCCCCTTCTCACTTGCTCATTCTAGGGGCCGAGCTCAGAACTTCCACGTAGATCCCTTTTGAGGGTGGCCCTGCCCTGGTCTCCTTCCCTTTCCACAACCTGAGGGGTCGGCTACACCCACCCCGCTCCACTCGGTCACTTCAGCGGGGAACCCGCCGTTGGGTCCACTTCTTCAGGGGAGGGGGACGGGAGCCCCGCCCCAGAGAGGCAAGGCGGGTGGGGGAGGGGTGTACAAAGTTATGGAGTCTTTTGTCCTGGGAAGAGGTAGGGGAGGGGCATTTAAGACTTCAAGAGCTGCTCCGGGTTCAGTGTGGCCCCCTGCCTAGCTCGACTCAACGGCTGCCTCTAGAGCGCCGGTCAGGTTCTACTGTGCGCCTCCACCCAGGCCGCCACGATCCCTGCAATCCTGCCCTGCGAAGGTCTCTCCTGACCCCCCCAATCCACACACTTGCTCGAGGCTCACCTGGGAAATGGACCAAGGAGATTCGCCGGCCGAGTGAGGGAGAGGGGTGGAGGCGGGGGTCTTAAAGGCGAGCTGACGTCACTGTTCCACCTCCCCGGGGAGGGGCAGAGACCCCAGCCCGACCACACGGGCGCGCGCATTCCTGCTTGGTCGGGGCAGTGGGGGCGCTCGCGACCGAGGCCGCTGCACCTGTCACGCGCTGGGCTGCGACCGCCACTTACTAGCTTTGAGACCTCGGGAATTGACTCACTCTTCAGGAGCCTCAATTTTCTTTCTTTTTCCTTTTTTTTTTTTTGTGGCACCTGGGACCGGGGATTGAACTCTCAGGACCTTGGACTTGCCAGGCAAGCGCTTATTCTACTGAGCTATCTCTCCAGCCCCCAGAAGCCTCAATTTTCTACTCCAAAATAACAATAAAACTGCTTTATTTATTTATTTATTTATTTATATTTTTTAAAGCCTGAATTTTAGTATGTACTTCCTAAGGTACAAATTAAAGAGCACATTATTTTTCTGCTGTTACTGCTGTATCCCCGGATCCCTTAAGAAACCTGCAATTGAGCTGGGCATAGTGGTGCCCGCCTGTAATCCCAGCACTTGGGAGGTTGAGGCAGGATTTCCTGAGTTCGAAGTCAGCGGGGGTACGACATAGGGAATTCAAGGCCAGCCTGAAACACATAGCAAGACCCTGTCCCAAACCCAACCCAATCCAACCCAAAGCCCCCCCAACCAGAACCAAAAAAAAACCATCCTGCAGTTAGCTCATAAGTACTGTGGTACACGCTGATAATCTCAGAACTCCGGAGACTGAGGAGGGGGATCAGAATTCGAGCCCAGCGTGGGCAATGTAGTGATTTAGCAAGACCCTGTCTCGAAAGAAAGAAAGAAAGAAAGAAAGAAAGAAAGAAAGAAAGAAAGAAAGAAAGAAAGAAAAAGGAAGGAAGGAAGGGGCCGGGAGATGGCTCAGTAGAATAACGCAAGGGACTGAGTTCAATCCCTGATTCCACCAAAAAAAAGAAAGAAAGAAAGAAAGAAAGAAAGAAAGAAAGAAAGAAAGAAAGAAGAAAAGAAAAGACGAGACTGGGACACAGCTCAACGCAAAGGCCCTGGGGTTTATTCCTCAGTATCAGAAAAAAAAGAAAAGAAACAAAAGAGAAACCTGCAGTTATCTCTACAGTAGTTGCTTTGTACGGGCCTCTCCTATTCCACATCCTCCGAACTTCAGTCGGGAGAGGCAGGTCCAGGTCCAAGTTCCTGCAGCCTGCAAAGCTCCCGCGCTGACCTCGTATTGGTCTAGAGAGCCCACATAGCGGGCCCTTCGGGGCGGGGTGTACAGGGCGGCTGGGGTGAGGGCTCCGCCCCGGAAGGCGGGGGCGGGGGCGGAGCCGGGGCCTCGGGTGCTGGCCACTGAGCCCCGGCAGCAGACTGCTGCTGCCGTGGGACGCGCACCATGGCTCTGGGCAGGTTGCGCTGGCTGCTGAGGCTCCTCGTGCTGGGGCTTGTGCTGGCGCTGCCGCGCACCGCCGCTGGGGAGCAGGCGCCAGGTACACGGGGCTCGGGGGGCCGAGGGACCCAGGGCCAAGGATATGACCCCGGACCAGGTGGATGGACGTGGGGTGTGGGGTCCGGTGGGTCCGGACGTGGAGCTTCCCGCTACGGAACATCTCTTCCCGCTCCGGGTTTTACTCGCAGTGCGGACTTCACTTTCTTTGCCCAGTCGGGGTGTGAAGGGCTGCTGTCCCACACGCCCGTAGCGGTAACTTAGAGAGAAAGTAAGTTTGGGACAGGATGTTTGGTTTGGTGAGGGGGCACGCCCTCCCGTCTGGTCTTTACGGGGTCTGTTCACTCCAGTGACAGAAGAGTGGGGGTCCCGAGAGTCATGGGGGTCTGTGCCCTCTCTACCAGTGGGGTGCCCCCTGCCATCCGGTGACTTCAGTGCCCAGCTATGCGGGGGGGGGGAGGGATCGGGGTCGGGCTGGGTGCCCAGGAGTGAGTCACACGCCGGCGGCGCGGGGGTTGTGGGGACCTGAACCCCCCCCCACCAAAGTTCTGCGATACCCTACCCAACCCCCCCCCCCGTACTGCCGTGTCCGGGTCAGGCCGTGCGGTCACCTGTGAGGAATGCAGGGGGGCTGGGGGGTGGAGGGCGCCGGTGACTCACGTTATTCGAGCCGGCGGACCCTGACCTCAGCCCCCAGAATAGCAGCGCCCTTCCCCCAGTGTCTGACCCGCGGCCCCCTCCCCAGGGACCGTCCCCTGCTCTCGCGGCAGCTCGTGGAGCGTGGACCTGGACAAGTGCATGGACTGCGCGTCGTGCCCAGCGCGACCGCACAGCGACTTCTGCCTGGGCTGTGAGTGAGCAACGGGCCGGTAGAGAATGAACCCTAGAGGAAGGGAGAGTTGCTGGGATGCAGAGTAGAGTAGATGGTTTCGGATGTGGGGAACTAATGAAAAGGAAGTGAGTTTGGGTTCAAGGCTAAATAAGGGGTGGAGCTGGACCTGAGAGGGTCAAGATCTGACTTGAGTCCCATCCCTAGGTGCTGCGACCCCGCCTGCCCCTTTTCATCTGCTTTGGCCCATCCTTGGGGGCGCCCTGAGCTTGGCCCTGGTGTTGGCGTTGCTTTCTGGCTTCCTGGTCTGGAGACGGTGCCGAAGGAGAGAGAAGTTTACCAGTCAGTGTGTCATTCCCACCCTTCCACCCTCTCATCACTCCACATTTCCCCTGCTCATGATGTCTCCCACATCTCTCTTGCAGCCCCCATAGAGGAGACTGGTGGAGAAGGGTGCCCAGGAGTGGCACTGATCCAGTGACTGAGTGCCCCCACCAGCTGGGGCCTCACCCGCCCATGGTTCATTCATTCTTCTGGAGCCAGCCCCTGCTTCCCAGAAAGCCAGAGCCAGAGCCAGGCCTCCTCCAGCCACAAGGGGGAAGAGAGTTGTGAATCACCTCTGAGCTGAGCCCAGGGTTCAGGGTAGGCTTCCAAGGTGTCTCGTTGCCCTGTTTGGCTCCAGGACAGAAAACAAGCCTCAAGCCTCTCACAGTAAGAAACTGCAGCATTTGCACAAAGGGGTCTCCCTGTCCCCTAATGTCTTGGAGACCAGGCTGACTCCAGGGCCAGACAAAACACTAGGCCCCACCCACTCAGATGGACTGAAATGGGGGGGGGAGGGCAGGGGTCAGCCTGGGGCAATTAGGGACCTGTTCTTAACACTAGAGGGCTGGCCCTCTAGGAGGGCTGGCCCTAAAATACAGACCTCCCCCACCCCAAAGAGGGGTAGGAGATATTTATTTTGGGGATAAAGTTTGGAGGGAAGAATTTATTAATAAAGAATCTTTAACTTTAAATGGCTTGGAGTATGGCATGATCCTGTCTGACTCCACAGAGCTGGAAGGAGGGAGTGAGTCAGTCGCCTGCTGCGGGGGTGGGGGTGAGGCTCTGACTCACACATTCTCAATGCCTGCAACCCAGCCTGCCAGGACCTGGCCAGCTCTGACCATTTTCCAGGGAAGATCTTGAAAAACCTCAACATCCAGCACCCCACCCTCCTCACAGGCCCCATATTCCAGAAGGGTCTTCCTATGTAGCCTTCAATTGCTAGGCAAGCTCTTCACTTTTGGAAAGAACATTTCCCTTCCCATGCTTCGATCCTCCTATCTCAAAAGTCCACTGAGGTCAGTGTCCTCCTCTGTTAGGGGAAGGTCCTGGTGCCCAGGTGTGTGATGTAGAGGATAAGTAAGGAGTCCATCCCTTCGAACAGATTGTCAGTCTTCATTTATTTTTATTTTTATTTTTCCCTTTTGTCTTTTTGTTTTGTTGGTGCCAGGGAATCAAACTCAGGACCCTCACTTGCCAGGCAGGGGCTACACTGATGAACCATACATATCCCTGGTCCTGAGTCAGAGTATCATTATGCAAGTTCAGGCTGGCTTTGAACTCAAATGGTAGCCCAGGCTGACCTCAAACTTGCAGTGATCCTCCTGCCTCAGCCTTCCCAGTGCTGGGCTTACAGGCGTGTGCACCACCATGCGCGGCTGAGGTTGTTAGTCTTGTAGCAGGCAAGAAGGTGGGGAGAATCATTGTCCACCAATGTTCAGAGCTTGATTATATCCCCAGCTGGGGTTGCAGCTATGAGGGGGCTGGGGGTATCCCCTAGCCTCAGCAGCCGTAGGGCTTCTGGGATCAGGCTTCCAGGGTATCGCCAGAGAAGCAACTCTGAGCAGGGGCTCCTGGAAGAGGAAAGGACAGTCAAGGCATGGGGCTGAAGCTGGCCTGGCAGAATCACCTCCCCCAAGGTCCAGGTTTCAGGGAGCCAAGATGGGAAACAGCACAGAAATTAGAAGTTTAAAAAGGCACATACGGGCCTGGGATAAAGCTCAGTGGCACAGCACCTGCTTGGGAAGCTCCTGGTCCTGAGTTCAAGTCCCAATAACAAAAGAAAATAGCACGATGAGGCAGGAGTGGCTCTGAGGAACAGGTATCCTCTAGGAGGTCTAATCAGTGGAAGTTGCCTACCTGAGTGGGGGCAGGGCAGAGGGGAAAGTTATGGGGGTGCTGCAGTAGGGGTGGTCATTATGTAGGCTGAGTCGGGAGAAGTGGGTGGCCATGTTCTCCTCAGACAGGAACTGCTTGTGCAAGAGCTCCCTGGGGAGAAACAGGAAGGAGGATATTGAGAGAGGAGGCTGCCGGACAGATCCAGAGGTGACATCCAGGCGGAACCCCCCCCCCAAACTCACTGCTCCTCCTCCAGGTGCACTTGGTGCTTATGGGCACAGCTCTATGGAAGGGAGCTGGGAAAAAAGCCAGGAGTACCCAACTTTCTTGGTTCCTCCCAAGGATCTGCCCTCCTGAACCTGCAGGTCTGCCAGGAACCCCCAGCCCATTCCTAACTCTACGCTAAGCCACTCCCATCTGGCCATCCAACAGCTCAGAAGTCTTGACCCCCTAGCTCCCAGGCTTAACCCTGCTTCAGCTCAAACGCAAGCTCCACAGTTCACCTCACTGGGTGTTATCCTGCAGATCAGCCCTGCGTCTCCAGCTAAAGCTCTGGAGCCCGAGTGCCCCCAAACACACCTGGAGTTCAGGTCCCGCGTCACCCCTGAGGTGGCTCGCAAGGCGAGACCTGGGGAGGCCCGCTCCAGCGGTTGCGGCAAGATCATTGAAATTCAGGTCCGGTGGACTCAGGTGGGATCCAGGCAACAGGGGCGGAGACTTAGGGGCGTGGTCCAAATGCGAGGGGTGTGGCCTCACGGTGCGATGGGCTTCTGCGCAAGTGCGGAAGAAGAGCGGTGCGCGGCCGAAAGGCGGGTCTACTTGGCGGAGTGGGGGGTGGGGACCCGGCGTGGCAGGAAAGCACGAGCGCCAATTCTTAAGGGCTCAGGGGTTCGCTACGCTCTCCTCGGTCCCTGAGAAGCGTGGCAGCACAAGACGACCACCTTGCCCGAATCCACCGGCAATATCGAGGTACTGGTCACGAAGAGGAGCAGCTCTCGGGCACGTCCGGCGTCGGGGAGGCTGCGTTGCGCGGGCGCACTCTGGGACTTGTAGTCCGGAGATGGACCGCATTACGCCTCTGACGGTGCCTCTGGGTCAGGTGAGCCGGCCTGCGCGTGGTGTTTTCTGGGGTTTGCAGTCCGTTTGGCTTCGAGGAATGGTGTGGAAGCTCTGGCTTGTGGAAGAGATCAGTGAGGCTCTGACTCCGTAGGGGGCGATGAAGAGGAACATGAGCTTTAGCCGAAGTGAAAGTAGAATGTAGAGGCTAGAAGACAGTATTAGGGCCGGCGAGATAGCGCAGTGACCAGGGATATCGGCACGCACGACAGCGCCGGCCCCGCCCCCGGGTACGCTGAGCTGGCCTCTGAGACCCGGCGTGGGCGCTCACGCCTGTGATCCTGGAGCTGGAGAGGCGGAGGCAGGAGAATCGGTGTGAGTTTGAGGCCAGCATGAACTACATAGTGAAATCTTGTCTCAAAAAAGATGAGAGAGGGCCGGGGAAATGGCTCAGCGGAATAAGCTCTTCCCTGGCAAGCGCAAGGGCGTGAGTTCAATTCCCGGTTCCACCAAAGCTGAGAGACCTGAACCTAGGTGTTGTATGCCGCTATAATCCCAGCAATCCAGAGGTTAACGAAGGATGGTTGCTGAGAGTTTGAGGCTCACCCTGTCTCAAAAATAAGTAAAAAGCATAAATAAGTAAATAAATAAGAAAATTGATGCAGTAATTGTACAAGAGGCTTTTTTATTCCAATACTGGGGATTGAATCTAGAGCCTTCACACTGAGCTACATTCCCCAGCCCTTTTATTTAGTATGTTGAGACAGGATTTAGATAAATCGATAAAATCTGAGGAAGGGGCTGGAGAGATGGCTCAGTGGTCTAAAGCACCTACTTGGAACAAGCTTGGCAAAGCACAGGGACCGCGGTTCAATCCCCCAGCACCACATGCCAGCCAGCCCCGCCCCCTGGTGGGCTGAGCTGACCACACACACACACACAATGTAAAATAAATAAATAAAATAAATAAATTAAAAAAAAATCTGAGGAAAGGGCTTAATTTGTAATCCTTCCTCAGCTTCCCAGGGTACTGGGATTATATACATGTGTCATCATGCCCTGCAAGAGCCACTTTTTGAGCATTTTCTATGAGAGCCCCACACAAGACTGTTTGTATGAACTTTATTTATTTATTTTTAAATTTTATTTATTTATTTATGTGTGTGTGTGTGTGTGTGTGTGGCCAGCTCAGCCCACCAGGGGGCGGGGCTGGCTGGCATGTGGTGCTGGGGGATTGAACCACGGTCCCTGTGCTTTGCTAAGCTTGTTCTAAGTAGGTGCTTTAGACCACTGAGCCATCTCACCAGCCCCTTTGTATGAACTTTATACATTAGCTTGTGCACTAGCTCATTTAATTGTGAGAGGATCTCCTGTGAATGTCATTTCACTGTTAAAAAAACTGGTAGAGGGGCTGGGGAGATGGCTCAGTAGAATAAGCGCTTGCCTGTGTTCAATCGTTGGTTCCGGAAAAAAAAAAAAAAAAAAGAAAGAAAGAAAAAGAAAAACTGGTAGAAGAGGTTTAATGCTTGCTTTGCCCTTCCTAGGTATCACATCCCAATTCTTCTTTTCTTACCCCCTTCTTGGAGTCACTTCTGAGGCTGCGTGGGCAAGGGTCTGTGTAGTGAACATCTCAAAAGAGGGCTGAGAGGCAGGCATTGTGGCACACTCCTATAATCCCAGCACTCAGGAGGCTGAGGCAGGAGAATCATTCAAGACCAGCCTGGGCTACAAAGTGAGCGCAAGGCCTGCCTGAACCGCATAGCAAAACCCTGTCTCAAAATGACTGGAAAAAAAAGGGGGGCTGAGAAGTCTGGGCCTGGTTGTGACTGGGGAGGCAGGGAGGAGCCTGTGGACAGAGGCTTCATCTAGTCCCTTCCTACAGGCTGAGGTGTTTCAGGCCCTGCAGCGGCTGCACATGACCATCTTCTCCCAGAGTGTCTCGCCCTGTGGGAAGTTTCTGGCAGCTGGCAACAACTATGGGCAGATTGCCATCTTCAGGTACCCTCACCACTGCTCTCCACCATCTTGAGCCCTGGCACTTGGCCTCCTGGGTCTGATGCCCCCTCTCCTGACCCCTGGGCCTTCCTTGCCTCTCCCCCTTCAGCTTGTCTGCTGCTTTGAGTTCAGAGGCCAAAGAGGAAAGCAAGAAGCCTGTGGTGACCTTCCAAGGTGGATGTAGCTGTTGACTATGATTTAGGGGACTCCAGGGTAAGTGAGGTGCCATGGTGGGCTTTGCTCAGGTTCTGCATTTCCCTTTAGCCCATGATGGGCCTGTCTACAGCATGGTCTCCACCGATCGACACCTGCTTAGTGCTGGAGATGGGGAGGTGAAGGCCTGGCTTTGGGCGGAGATCCTGAAGAAGGTAAGAAATCTGGAGCCTGAAAAAAGGCTGTGCTGCCTCACCCAGAAAGAGTCTTAGTGGTCACCCAGCGTTTTCTTTCGTAAAGGGCTGTAAGGAAATGTGGCGCCGCCAGCCCCCATACAGGTAAGCCAGCCCCCATACAGGTAAGCAGGCTGTGAAAGCCACGTTGGGTGAGGGCACTACCTCGCTGACACTGACTTGCCCTTCTTCCCCCAGGACCAGCCTGGAGGTGCCTGAGATCAATGCCTTGCTCCTTGTTCCCAAGGTCTAAGCTTTTTACCAGTTCTTGGCTCAACCTTCACCCCTTACCTATTCCCTGTCCTGCTTTGACCTGACTTCCAGCCCCACCCTGCTCCCTCTGCAGGAGAATTCCCTCATCCTGGCTGGGGGAGACTGTCAGCTGCACACTATGGACCTAGAAACTGGGGCCTTCACGGTGAGCAGAGCCCTGGAACTGGGGCAGAGTGCCAGGGTAGGCACTCTTCCTGGGTCTCATCCTCACTCTGTCCCTCTCCCTACAGCGGGCTCTCCGGGGCCACACAGACTATATCCATTGCCTGGCACTTCGAGAACGGAGTCCTGAGGTGCTATCAGGCGGTGAAGATGGGGCTGTGCGGCTTTGGGGTAAGGGGGTGATTGCCTGGAGGGCAGAATAGTGGGAGGGAAGTGGGGTCAGTAGTGGGAACCTCATGGCTCTTTCCCAACAGACCTCCGCACAGCCAAGGAGGCACAGACAATTGAGGTTTATAAGCATGAGGTAAGGGGATACCCACATGCCTGTTCTTTCCCCCACCTGGTCTCTGTTTTCACCTCTCCCCTTTTCTCTCTCAAAGGAATGCTCCAGACCACACAATGGGCGATGGATTGGATGCTTGGCCACTGATTCAGACTGGATGGTGAGCTGCAGAGGGCACGCAGGACTGGGGGAGAGTATCGTTGCCAGCCCTGTTAGCTGAAGACTTCATGGCTCACAGTGGCTGGGAACCCTGTACCCTTCTGCTCAGGTCTGTGGAGGAGGCCCAGCCCTCACCCTCTGGCACCTGCGATCCTCCACACCAACTACCATCTTCCCCATGCGAGCACCGCAGAAGCATGTCACCTTCTACCAGGATTTGGTGAGGCTCTCTACCTCCTTCTGTCACCCTCTCCAGGATCCCCTCTAGCCCTGAGCCCACAGTGTCCTCCTTGTCCTCCACAGATTCTGTCAGCTGGACAGGGCCACTGCATTAACCACTGGCAGCTGAGTGGGGAGCTCAAGGCCCAGGTGCCTGGCTCCTCGCCAGGGCTGCTCAGCCTCAGCCTCAACCAGCAGCCAGCAGCACCTGAGTGCAAGGTGGGCCTAGCAAAGGGCTCTGGGGGTCCCAGGGGGTCTAGGAAGTGTGGGCAGTTCAGTCATGGCTCTCCTGCCCCCAGGTCCTGACTGCTGCAGGCAACAGCTGCCGGGTGGATGTCTTCACCAACCTGGGCTACCGTGCCTTCTCCCTGTCCTTCTGATACCTGGCCAACATCCCATCCAATCCTGACCAACTCCCATTTAGAGTCTCTTTTATTTTTATTTTGTTATAATAAAGTTTCAAGCTTTTCTTCCTTGTGTTTTCTTCCCAAGAATGGAGACCAAAGTCCATGTAGTGATTTATATATTACTCTGTCCAATTTTGATACATAAATATCTACCCCTTCTCCTGCCCTGAAGCTCCTCTGAGCAGCGGGGGCTAGAGAAGACAGACCCATTCAGATGCAGAAAAATAGACAGCTCCGCCCTGCCACCGACCCAGGCCCCTGGCCTCCAGAGCTGGCCTCTGTCCCGGAACAGCTCCTGGCTTTGGGACCAGGGGAGAAGGGCACTGGTCCTGCGTGGAAATCCGGGTCCTGTAGTGCAGCTCCATTGACCATTAAAGGAAAGTAAGTGCCACCGTGAGGAAGGATGCCCCTTTGGCCGGCTGTCAGGTTCTTCGGAAGAGGTTACTGAGGAAGCCGCCGGCTGGCCCAGGGCCCAGGCGCAGCGAAAAGCGAGTGGAGGCGCGGCGTGGGCCTGACGCTGCTGCGCTCAGCTCCTTCTGGCGCTGTGAGCGCAGTTGCTGCCCAATCACCACCTGCATATCGTCCTGCGGGAGGCAGGGTCGGGGATGTGTCGCGGTCCTGGGTGCCGGGATCCCGCCCCCTGAAGCCGGCCCTGAGCCTCACCTGCCACGCCTCCAGCTCCTGCGTTAGCGCCACCTTCTGGCGGATGGTGCGCAGCAGCTCGCGAGACAGGGAGTCCCGCTCCAGAGAGACTCGGCCAAGCTCCAGCGACAGCTCCAGGGCCCTGTGGGCAGGAAGGGCGGGTAATGGCCTGAGGACGCGTAAGACTCCTCGGTGGATGGGGAGTAGCTTACACTGGACTAAGAACGTCGGAGGGTCCCCGGGTTGGGGAGTGGAATAACTACAAGCATGTCACAGATGGGAAAATCCAGGGAAGTACCCTGGAAGATAGCAGAGACTCACTTGTTCACGGCTTCATCTCGGTCTGAGAGTGCGCTGCTCAGGGTCTCCTCGGGGTCTTCGTGTGCCCGCAGCTCCTTCTGTCTTTGGAGCTCCTCCCGAAGGGTCTGCAGCTCTGCCTGCTGCAGGGCAATCTGTGGGCAGGAAAGGGGGTAGCAAGTGGGCCCCTGGACCTTCTATGCAGTCCTGGCTCTGGCTTTCATGGCTGTCACCTGCAGGAGGTTATAGGAGCCTTGTTGGGAGTGGAAGGGGGACGAGGGTTATGTTAGGAAGTCTTCCTGAGTTTTACCTTCAGGCACACACTGGAAATTGAACCAGGACTTTTTTTTTTTTTTTTTAATGTATAAAATACAGGGTCTCACTGTGCAACTCAGACTCATAGTGATCCTCCTGTTTTCAGCCTCCCAGTGCTGGGATTACAGGTGCACCCCACCACGCCTGCGGGGGTAGGGCCAGCGCGGCATGCATACTGGGGATGGAGCCCAGGTCCCACCTCTTGCCTAAGTAGGCGCTTTGCTAGCCCTGAACCAGGACTTTTGTACTGAGCTACATTTCCAAGTCTTTTTCTTTTTCTTTTTCTTTTTTTTTGGTACTGGGGATTGAACTCAGATTCTTGAGTTTGCCAGGCAGGTACTTATGCCACTGAGCTATTTCCCCAGCGTCTTTTCTTTTTTTCTTTTCTTTTTTTTTTTTTTTTTGAGACAGGGTCTTGTTAAATAACTAAAATTCCCAAACTGGATTTGAATTCCTACTAATCTTCCTCCCCGCCTTTCAGAGTCCTGGAATTACATACATGCCACAGCCAGGTGGGTTCTTATAGTATGACTGCAAGTTCGTTGAGATGGTGGGAAATCCAGGTATAGAGAAGACGGGGCTTATAGGACAAAGGCTGGGAAGTGAGGATGGGAAAGAACAGGATAGCTAGTGAGGAGCAGCACCCAGCCCCTCCCCCACCTCATCCTGTAGCCTGGCTACTTCCGTCTCTTTCTCCTCCAGAATCTCCGCTGGACTCAGCGGTGCTCGCTTCTTCGGGGGCTCCAAGCTGTCCACCTGGGGTGAAAGCTGTAGGCTGGAAGCCTCTTGGGTCTCCGTGGACAGGGTGGTCTGTGGGCCAAAGGATTGGTCAAAGCTATGTGGATTTTCCTGGTAAGAGGAAGAGAGGTGGGGGGCTGGGGAGATGGCTCAGTAGGATAAGTAGGATAAGCGCTTGACTGGCAAACGCAAAGATCTGAGTTCAATCCCCGGTTCCACCAAAAAAAAAAAAAAAGAGGAAGAGAGGTGGAGTTCCCTTTTTGGCTAAGATCAAGTGATGAGGAGTGGAGTTCCATGCTGCTTGCTGATGGCATGGGGTTGGGGAGGGAGCCAGAAAGCTCACCTGGGCGTCTCCGACTGTATTTGCATCCTGCTCCTGCTCTCGGTCACTATCCAGACTGTGGGCGAGCTCTGACTGCAGCGAGGCGCTGGACACATTGACTTCCTGGAGGCGTGATTCCTCCTCTAGCTCTGAGACTCGCCGCTGCAGCCTCCGCAGTGCGCTCAGAGCCTCACCAGCCTCAAAGCGCGCGCGTTCCAGCTGCAGGGAGTCGAGCCAAGGCATAGATGGTCAGCCCTGCGGGCAGGCACCTGCATCCCATGACAGGCCTCCCAGGGGCGCCTGCGTGCCAGCACCCCAGAGCCCCAGCTCCCACGTACGCCCTAGATTGCAGGGCCACCTTGGGCCAGCGCACTTCTGAGCTTTAAAGTTTCCTTACCTATAAAACAGGGCACGCTAGGCATCAGTCCCCCCCAGCCACACCCCATCAAGGTCATCTCACATAAGGTGCGTCCTTTTTCCTGCTCAGCTACCTTCTAGCTCCACTAATTGCTGGGATCCCATGTTTATTGATCTTTTCTTCTGAGCCTCATAGCTTACTCACCATCATTACCATCCCATCTCACAGATGGGGAAACTGAGGCAGGCCACCCAACAATAGTAAGGAAGGGATGTTAGGATAAAAAGCCAGGCAATCTGATCTCTGAGTGCAAACTCTTAAGATTTCAAACATTAGACCTGCTCCTTTTTCTTTCCCTTTTTCTATCTCTGCTGCCCCAGACATGGTCCAGGCCAGGCATTTCCTGTTTGAACTCCAGCCTTATCCCCCTCCCCCAACTCTCCCCCAACTCTGATTCATTCTAAAAGTACACCTCTCCTGCTCAACAGCCTTCTGTGACTCCCACTTGCCCTCAAGCTAATGCCCATACTCTCTGGCACAGTGTGCAGGCTCCCAGTGATCCAGTTCTGCTCAAACCTCCCAGAAATCCCCAAGGCCCTTGCCAAGGGCTGGGCTGACTGCCCACTCCCTCCAGCCCTAGGTCACCTCCAGGCTGTGCTCCCTCCTCTCTCTCCTCAGCAGCAGCAGCTCCTCATGGGTGGTCTGCAGCCTGCCCTGACCCTTGTCCACCTCCTCATGCAGGCCTCGAATCTGGGCCTCCAGGTCATGCCGGCGGCTCTGCAGCATCTGATTCTGGGGCAAGGACATAGAGCTTGGGGTTGGGGGCAGCCTAGGTGCCCCAAGTCCAGCTCTTCTAGCTCAGACCAGCCCAACCCCAAATCCCCACCCTGAAGATTCACCTCCCCTTGCAGACTCTCCAGCTGTGTTCTCAGCTCTGCTCCAGCCAGGGCCTGGGCCTGGCACTGGGCCCGAAGTGAATCCAGTTCTCTCTGAAGCTCCTGCTCAGTCTGAGAGGCCTGGGTAGAGGGCACAGGGAGTGGGATTCCCAGTTAACTTTAGCCTCAACACATAACCAAGGCACCTATCCCCATGGAGAACACATGTACTGGCAGTCCCCACCTCTCCCAAGGCCAGGGCCACTTACCTGGGCCAGCTGTTGGCTGAGCCTGAGGTTCTGCTCACTGAGCTCTCCAAGGGCCCGAGCCCGCTCTCGCCCGCTGTCCTGTTGCTCTGAGAGCTGTTCCCCCAGCTGGGCCCGCAGAGCTGCCACATCACCCTCCAGCTCCACAGCCTTGGCCTCCCATTCTGCACCCCGGGCTGCTAGGCCCCGGCGAAGCTCATGGTTCTCCTGCTGCAGCCGCTGTAGGGGACCATGCAGAGTCAGAAACAGAGTATGGAGCTGGAGCGGACCCAGAGATCGGGGGGATACTGACCTAAAGAAAGCATGGGAGTTGGGGGTGGGGGTAGACATGAAAGCAGGAGAAAAGAGCACAGGACAGCAGAGGGAGGACACCCAAGGATCAGAGAGAAGGCTACAGACACGCAGTTGAGGGGAGGGTCAGGTTTGGCAGAAGGCTGGCAGTGGGCAGGGAGATTAAGGCCTCCTGATACCCACTCACCTCAACCTGCTGCCTGGACTCCTGGACCCGAGGTCGCAAGCGCCGTTTCTGGCGCCTGAGTCTGGCAGAGTTTAAGCCACGGCCCATGGCTTCACTCCTACACCTGTGGTGTCTGAGGGGCTCTGCAGGCTGAGCCTCTGCCCAGCCCCTCTCCCAGTTCCCTCTAATTAGCCCTGGCCAGTCTGATCAGAGCTCCACCCTCTGCCTGCCTTTCCCCAAACCTGCTTGACCAGTGGCAGGACGCGAGCTTGGCACACTCAAGTGCCTATTTTAGGGAAGAAGCCAAGTCAGGGGCCACTGTTTCTAGGCCCCCAAAACAGGAAGGGTCCAGGGCAGGTGACAATAACCACAGATGTTACAATTATAGTACTGTGTTAAGTAATCCTGACAAGTGCTCTACTTGCAGTATTTTATTTAATCCACCACAGGGAGAATTACTAAGGTTCTCAGATGAAAGCATGGGCTCAGAGAGGTTCAATGCCTTCTTGCCTACAATAAATTTCCTGCTCCACAATAAATTAGTGGGGGGCCCAGCCCTAGCTCAGTTCTTTAAGTGGCTGCTTCCACAATGCTGGCAGCCTCAGTTTGCTGTAGTTCGATCCCCACAACACTCCAGCCATGCAAAAGTGCCCTGAAGGCATTCAAGGAGCAAAACACACACACACACACACACACACACACACACACACACACACACACACAATAAATTAGTGGAACAGGAAATCCAGTCCTGGGAGCCAAACTCTTAACCTAATGTGGCCCTGGGATTAAGCTGACAGATTTGAGATCTGATTATCCTGGCTGGTGCTCAGTTCTGTTGCTGTATGTCCTGGGCAAGTCCCTTTAATATCTCTAAGTCCCATGAGGGATATTTTAAATATCAATCACCTTGAAAAAGCCAGGAAGAGTCACTAACCCAACCAACCCCCTACAAGAAAAACCCCTGTTCTGTATTCATGCCTTCTTGCTGTGTGACTTGCTTCCCCATTTGGTCCTCATTTAATCAGTTTTACCTGAGCAATTACGCTGTAATCTTATTGATTGACCATAGTTTTGCCCCACCTCATGCCTACCTAGCAAGTTCCCATTTTTCCCCACTTTAGACCCACCTCACGTCATGGATTTGCTCTATAAAAATCACTAGAAAAGACAGGTTTCTGGGCAACCCATGCAGGTCCTTTTTTTTTTTTTTTTTTTCCTTCGGAACCATGGATTGAACTCAGATCCCTGCACTTGCTAGGGAAGCACTTATTCTACTGAGCCATCTCCCCGGCCCCTCAGGTCCCCTTTTGTCTCTTTCTTGGATAGAAGACTTCTTTCTCCCAACAAATATATTTTACTCTTTTTATTTTTTTATTTTTTGGCCAAACTGGGGATTGAACTCAGGCCCTTGTACTTGCCAGGCAAGCACTTATTCTACTGAGCTATCTCCTTAGCCCCTTTGGCTCTTAGCAAATTGAAACAAAGCAAAACAAAATATCTCCAAGTCTCATCTTTCCCGCTTTCCAATACTTCCTGAGCTCCTTCTGTTCTGGCACCTGTTATGATTAAGCAAGGCCCTGAAGTCCACTGTCTCAGCAGCTTGGAGTCCAGAGGGTCATGGAAAAATTACATGCTTGAACCCAGTAATTTCAGAGGGAAACTGAGGGTTGTAAAGAAACCTGAGAAAGTGGCAACTGAGGAAAAGAGGAAAGAGGTGGGCATCCCCTGTAGAGCAGTGGATGTTGGGATTGATTCCTGCAGGGCAGGAAGGAGACAACCAGGAAGAGGGCCGCCTTAAGGAACAGCAGTGCAAAGGCCCTGTGGGTACAAGTTTGAGTCAGCTTGGGGACTTTTAGGCTGTGGTAAGAAGTTTCAGTTTCATCCTAAGTGCAAAAGAGAGTTTCAGGGAGGTTGTGGGCTAAGAGTAAAATGATCTGATGGTCACTGGCGGCCCCCTGGGATTAGACTCCAGGAGGTAGGAGGGGATACCAGGTAGAGGGGAGTGGGGCTTGGTCCCAGGATAAAGGCTGAAAAGACCACCAGAAGCAGGTAAATTCGGTGTTTGTTTGTTTGTGGTATCAGAGATCGAACTCAGGACCTTGCCCTTGCCAGACAGGGGCTTATACCACTGAACTATCTCCCTGGCCCTTTGTTTTGTTTTTTGAGACAGGGTACAGTTCAATTAACATCTTTTTTTTTTTTTTTTTGTACTGGGGATCGAACTCAGGACCTTGTGCTTGCCAGGCAGATACTTATACCACTGAGCTATTTCTCCAGCCAGGGTATAGTTCAGGCTGGCCTGGAACTCACTATATAGCTAAGGCTAGTCTTGAAGCTGTGGATCCTCTTGCTTCAGCCTCCCAAGTACACCACCATGCCTGGCTAAGCAGGTGAATTTGGAACAGGGTTTAGAGGATTCAACAGGGGGAGACTGCTCCTGTATAGGGAATTAACTGCCACTGTGGTGAGACACCCAGTAGGTAGTCTGGTTGGGACATCATAGGGCAGTTTATTATCCAGATCAATGCTGAACAGAGATTTGGTCTGATAACAAGGGTGCATCAGGGTGTCTAGGGTCCAGACGTGAACCCCAGAATGAGAGTGGGGCTGACTACAGTCTGGACAGAGGGAAGATCCCTTCGTAGTTTGCAGAGTTGAGCAAGAGTGAACTAAGATGATGCATGGGGAGCACTTAGCCAGGTGTAGAGGGAGTGGCCCCTAGGACCTGTTAAGTGGGAGTCACACTATGCTGTTGAGGATCCAGGCTGCAGATCTAGAGGCCTAGCCTAGAGTCAAGCAGAGGTCTGAACCAAGATCTTGACTTGTCCTTAGATGTGTGTGTGTGTGTGTGTGTGTGTGTGTGTGTGTGTGTAGACATGCGCCAAGGATCAAATTCAAAGCCCTGGCACATATTAGACAAGTGCTCTACCATTGAGCTACAGCTGTAGCCTAGATTTCTTGTTCCTAAGCACGGAGCTCATGGCACCTACAGCATCTATGGGAACAGGGGTCAGGGGAATGAGGCCCAGCCCCAAGCTATTCCAGAGGCATTCCCTGCCTCCCTGCCTCCCTCTCCATGTCTTCTTTCTCTTCCCTGGTCACTCCAGCCTTCCTGCCCTCCTCCAGCCCCAGTGGCCAGCTCACTTCCTCACGCTCAGTGTGCTGGGAGCTCAGGGTCTCCAGCTGCCGCCGAAGCTCCTCGTTGCGCTCCAGAAGCATTTTGCCAAGTTCTGCAGCCAGCAACAGGTCCTTCTCCTTCTGCTGTAGCTGCAGGGCGAGGTCCTCTGGCTCCTCAGGCACGGGGCTCACTCCCAGGAATGAATCCCTCCGTTCCAGCACAAAGGGGAAGAAGCCTTCATCGCCGCTGGGGGAGGTGCCCCCAGAGAGCAGCCCTGTAGGGAAACTGGGCCCTTCCGGGGAGCTCATGGCACCTACAGCACCTATGGGAACAGGTGGATATAGTCTGAGCGCTCCTCCCCTGGTGGCCCACACCTGGTCATCCCAGTCCTGTAGCCAGGCCTCCCTAGGACAAAGGGGTTAATGATCTGTGTTTTGGCCACCCAACTCCGTTAATGTCCCCAGGGTAGACTGAGGCAGGGAGCAGAAGGAAATGAGACACCTTGCTTCCACTTCTGCCCCTAGGACACTTTGGCCCACACTCTGGGGCCACAGCCACACCACCAGAGGTCCCTACATGGTCCTACCCCCTTCCCTGAGCTCAGCTCTTTTGCTCCCAGCCTCTCATCACTGGGCATTGATTGCCAGAACTCAGGCTGCTGTGGACCTATCACTCAGGGATAACTCCAGATCCTTCTCCCAAAATACGGGGTACTCTCCTTTGGGAACTTAGGTGTCCCCACCCTTTGTCCCCAAGAACATAACTTTTTCTTTCAGCATCCCAGATCCCCTGTCCTCTTTCTAGTTTTCCAGGAGTTTTGAACCCTGGACTTGAAGGTTGCATTCCTAGTGTCCACTCCTCCTGGACCCCCAGCCCCATCCTCTCATCTTGTCCAAGACAGAGGCATTTTTTATCTCGCCAGCCAGGACTCAGAAGCTGTCACCTGGAGACCCTCGTTTCCCAGGGCCCTGGCAGCAGGCCCAGGCAGGGCGAGGTAGCAGGTTGTGCCGGCTGGCGCACCGCCGCCACGGCTGCGAGTTTCTGTTTACTTCCCGGCCCGCCCCTGGGACAGGAGCCCTGGGTCCCCAGGGCCGCGCAGAGCCGCGCAGGGCCGCGGGTACTGGGGGCACAGCACTCGACAGAAGGCCCGGCACGCGGGCACTTTGGCCTTGGCCCCCCGGGGGTCCCCATCACCGGCCCACGCGGGAGCGCGCGCACCTGTCCTGCTTCTCCCCTCGCAGGGACAGCAGCCGGGCGGGGCGCGCAGAGCAGGTGTGTCACGGGGGTCCCAGCGCCGCCCGCCCTTGAGCTGCAGCCAGGGTTCTTCTGAACCCAGGCGGCAGAAGCCTTCCTTCCTGTTCTGTCCTGTGCTGTCCCGTCCTGTCCGTGTCGTGGCTGCCCCGCGGTGCCAGAGTCCGGCCCGACCCGGCTAACCCTAATCCTCCCCACTGACAGTCCCGCCCAGAGCGAGAGGGCCCGGCCCTTGTTGCCCCCAGGCGCTCACCCGCCGCCGGGCTGCCTCCGAGGTCCCGCAGTCCTAGTCCCCTCTTCCGGAGGCGGCGCCAGGTGTTCGGGCCGCACAGGTGAGGGGGCGGTGCCGCGGGAGGGGCCCGGACGCCTCCTGGTGGCCGGAGTGGCCAGGCGGGGTCAAAGGAAAGTCGCCTCCACCTTCTCAGAGGTACTAATCCATTTTGCTGCCGCTGCTATTGGAACTGACTGCTTTAATCGAACATCTACTGTGTGTGATCCTACGCTGAGATAGACACAAGCTGTTTTCCTTTTCTTTCAAGGCTGCCCAGTGGATTTTTTTTTTCTTTGCGTTTTTAGGGGTTGAACCCTAGGGCTGTCACATTAATTACATTCTTTTATGATTCATATTGAATATATATTGTGGGAAGTTGGCACATATATACAGTATATCCACTTTAATCCATTTTACCTCTCTTCCCCCCTCCTGTTTCCCATTTCTAAAAGGTCCACCTCTCTGTCTTGTTCTCTTATTTTGCTCTTTAAATTATTTACATTTTGGGTTTCTCATATAAGAGAAACCACATGACATTTAGTTTTCTGGTTTATTTCACTTACCCCAGTCCAAAAAAAAAAAAAAAAAAAAAAGGTTTTATTTATTTTGTTTTATCTTTTGATTTTTCCAGACTGGGTCTTGTTATGTAGTTCAGGCTGGCCTTAAACTCAGTATAGCCCTAAAATGGCTTCTCATGTTTAGTGATCCTCCTTTCAGCCTCCTAAGTGCTGGGATTACTGGAAGGCTTCATCACACTACGAAAAACTTGTTTTTTAAATGTATGTATTTAGTACAGGATCTCACTATGCAACTCAGACTTGTAGTGACCCTCCTGTTTTCGGCCTCTCCAGCGCTGGAATTATAGGGATGTGCCACCACGCCCAGACTCAGTGGGCTCGTGGGCAGGGCCAGTGGGGCATGTGGTGCCAGGAATCAAAACCCAGCTATGAAAATTTTAAATTATTTTATTTATTTGTTTATTATTATTTATTAT